AGTCCACGAAGGAGAAGAGAGCGGCCATAGTCGTGAAGCTCGTATGACGAAGTGACGAAGTAAGGAGGGAGAAGGACAGAGGGGGAGAGACCGAGGAAGGAGGAGGAGCGGCCATAGCCAAGAGGTGAAGGAGAGGCCGATCAAAAAAAAAAAAAAAAAAAGAGAGAAAGAGAAGAAGAAGACAGCGGGGTGAAAGGAGGCGAGGAAGGTGAAAAAGAAGAAGAGGGTTGGCGAGGAAGAAGAGCCGGCAGCCATAGCTGACCGGAGGGTTGACCAAGAGGGTTGACCGGAGGTGTTGACCAGCCGTTACCAGAGTTGACCGGGGGTTGACCGAGGGTCATAGCAGCGTTGATCGGCATTGACCAAGGCCGTTGACCAAGGCGTTGACCAAGACTTTGACCAAGCTGGAGTTGGTAACATCTCGTCAAGCCTTTAGCCTACCCCTCGCCCTATGGATGTGCACACCCCCCCCGGTGCTTGCTGAGTCAAGTCAGTCTGTCTATTCTTTCTGCATTGAGTCTCTTCTGTCCTAGGTGATAGCACTCTGTGGATGAAGGACAGGGCTTGGATGACGAAACCCTAGTCTGACCTTGCAGGGCTAAGACTGTGGCTGATCCAACTTTCGAGGGGGGCATAACCCTCCCAAGGACCGGTGCTGACCGGCTGGAAACGGTTGGTAGGACTCAGTGGGCCTAAACGACAGTTAGGGCTGACACACTAGGCAATCTTTAAGTGTTGAGTGCCTGTTTGAACCACTCCCCTACCGGATCAAGTAAGGCTGAGGATCTGTGTCTGACGACTCGATTGTCCCGGGGGATACGAACCCTCCCAAGGACCGGTACAGACTGGCGGGCTGCTCGGTGTGGCACAGTAGGCCGGRAAGGCTGAGTTGTGGGCTGAAAGCACAGGCAAGACCAAGCTGATCACGTCGTCCTGTTTGCGACGGTAAAGAATTCTTGAGGAGTTACGGGGGATCTCCTTAAATGCCTCCAGATCAGCTATAGGTCTAGTAGTGAAAGCCATAGCTAGGTCCAGGCTAGAGACCATAGTTGACAGGGTCCTTGTCAGGATTCTGTGAGTTCTTAGATCGAGTCTATAGGTTTGTCAGTCAGGGGTCAGAGTCTACGTGGTGAGGTCTGGAACCACTAACCTGGTTGTACACTTGTCACCATGGTTGGGACCCGTAGTGGGTTAGAGACTAGCCCCTACAGCAAGGAACATCAAGAAGAGATGGCCGCCTTAGTCAAAGAGAATAGGGAGAGGAAAGAACGTGAGAAGCAAGCGAAGCTCAAAGCTATCACAGACGAGCGGGCGACGAAGATGAAGGAAGTGGAGGAGGAGATGAAGAAAAAGGAGAAGGCTGCTGAAGAAGAAGTGGCAGCAGAGGAAGAAAAAGAAAGAATGAGGATTGAGAGCAGAGAGGAGAGTAGTTGCACGAAAAAGGACACAGACGCTGAGATTGAGAAGAAGATCAGCGAGTGGGTTGCTAACTTATCGTTGGGAGAGGAAGAAGAGGCGGAGTCATATGTGACTGGAGATGAGAAGGCCGCATTGGCCGCTGAGCTAGCAGCCATGACGGATCCTATGGAACGAAGAGAGAGGGAAGACGAGCAGAAGTTGCAATGGAAGTTGAGAATGAAGAGGGAGAAGAGAAGGAGGAGAGAAGAAGTGAATAAGATGACCGCAGCAGTGGCAAAAGTGCAGTCGGAGGTGCTGGCCCAGCCAGATGATAAGGCCAAGTGGGACAAGGTACTGGGCTACCTAGAGGTGTTGAGCAAGGCCTGGATGGAGGAGTGCCAGGCAAGTTGGAGCCAGGATGTAGCGTTGAGTGCCATGTGGTCCGGTTTCAGGGATTTTGCGCGTGAAATCGTCACCCATATTGGGGGCGAAGTCAAACAGTTGAGGGACAATGTAGGAAAGTTCTGTGAAGGCGCCATTGAAGGTGCAAAAGCCATAGCCGCTGTAGATGGCGAAGCCAGACCCCGTAAGGAGCCTGTCAAGCTCAAGTTCCCAGACGCGTACGGGGGAAAGGAGGAGAACTTTGACAACTGGGAGACCAGTGTCAACAATTACATTTATTTACAACATATCTTGATAGAGGAGCAAGTCCTTGTGGCCTTCCAGGCCCTGAAGGACGAAGCAGCTAGCTTCGCCAGGTCCCTTGCGTGCGCAGCCGGTTGTGAAAACAACCTGGTTGCATATTCCAAAGTCACCCCCTCTCTCAGTTCCTCAAGCTCCTTAAGGAGCGATTTGCTGACCCAACGCGAGGCGTCAGAGCCTCAGATAAGTTGCAAACAATCCACTCACGGCAGTGGAGGAGTGCCAAGGCACTCAAGGGTCCCATGAACGACTTAGTAGTCGTCCCGGACCATGGGGTCACTGAGCCCCAACTGGTCCAGTTGTTTTATCGTGCCATGCCAGAGGCCCTACTCGGGCATTTCTTTGACGAGTCTCAACAGGCTGACATCACTTACGATGCATTGAATAGAGAAGTCGTCCTGTATGAGTCGCAGTCTATGCCAGTTACCACTTTCTCGCATAAGGACCTGGAGAAGGGGAAGAAGTGGAAGGATCGTACCATCTCAGGCCAAGTCAAGGCCAAGGATCACTTGATCTTGACATTAGAGGAGGGTGGTACAGACGAGGTCCCATATGATCAGATTGAGTGGGGCCTAGGGGAGGACAGTAGTGTAGGGCAGGGGAGGTCTTACGCTGCTGTCGCAGCTGGAGGGGGGCCGCAAGGTAGAGGAGGAGGCCAGGGCCAAAGGGGCCACGCCATGGGAGGTCGAGGACCGGGCGCGCAGGGGGTTGGCGGCCAAGGAAACCGCCAAGTGGGAGGTAGGGGTCAAGGTCCCCCGCCAAATTGCCAGGGTAATCGGTCCCCACAGCGAAGAGGTGGAAGGGCACCTAAAGGAGGATGGTACCCAGGCTTGCCACAGGGTAGGCCCTGGGAAGACTTGGGCTTGGACCAGCGTTTATGGCAGGAACGCGTGAACATGGGTCAGTGCGTGTTTTGTGGTGACCCAGCTCTAGGGGTTGCAACTGCCCCTACTTCAAGGCCATGTGGAGAGGTGAGCGCGCGCGAACAGAACACTCCCAACCCACATGAGCCAATGGCAGAGGTTGCAGGCCCGTGCCTAGCTAGCTGTCCAGAGACCGCCTGTGTTAGCGTCTCTTTAGGCATGTCCCTCACAGGTGTGGCAGAAGAGTTAAGGGAGAGAATGCCAGCCTGGGCCAAGATGAAGAAAGAGAGTAAAGGACAACCGATCTTGGTAGACATTTAGAAGTAGAGTAGGGGCCCTCATAGACTCAGGGGCTACCCGTAGTTACATCAGCCGTAGGGCGTTGAAGAAGTTGAGGCTGGGACTAAAAGTCCAGAAATTGGCAGACCCCATAGTCAGTGTCCTCGCAGACAACCGCACGATGCGAGTTGAGGAATATGTAGAGGGAGTCCAGGCATACTTTCGCCTAGAGAAGGATGTGAAGGTGGAGAAAGTTCTCCATTCACTCTCCTCGTACAGGATGACCTTCCTTTTGATATAGTGTTAGGAATGGATTGGGGAGAGGCAACATGGGCCACACTTCATTTGAGAGAGCATGAGTGTAGGCTCCCTAGCCCGTCCGACGAGGTTAAGACTGCCCGTCTGTTTCATGTGTCAGGTGTAGACAACACCTTGGCACATTGCTGTCTCAGTGCCCCTACGTTCGCGCGGTTGGTGAAAAAGGAGCAATTAGAAGAGCAGGTCTTTGTGGTGTATGTTAGACTTGTCACCGAGGGCAAGGAAGAGATAAGTTCCACAGATCCAACCATAGCCAGGTTGTTGGAAGAGTTCAAAGACTTGACTGAGTCGCCGACAGGAGTAGTGTCGCGACCCTTCCAGCACAGGATAGAAATAGAACCTGGCAGTAGAACTCCTAAAGGTGCAGTCTACAGGATGTCCCCTAGAGAGCTAGAGGAGCTGCGTAAGCAGTTAGACGAGCTCCTTGAGAAGGGTTGGATCAGGCCCGGTTCGTCTCCTTTCGGAGCACCCGTTTTGTTTGTCCCCAAGAAGGAAGGAGAGCTGAGAATGTGTATAGACTATAGGGGTTTGAACGCGATTACTGTGAAGAATGCTGAGCCACTGCCTAGGATAGACGATCTTCTAGATTGGGTGCAGGGTTGTTAAGTATTTCACTAAGATTGATTTGAAGTCCGGTTATCATCAAATAGAAGTCCATCTTGATGATCAGTACAAGACTGCCTTCCAGACTAGATACGGGCATTATGAGTTAATAGTGATGCCCTTTGGACTAACCAACGTGCCAACTACATTTCAGCATTGCATGAATGACCTGTTTAGGCCCTGGTTAGATAAGTTTATAGTGGTTTATTTAGATGACATCTTAGTTTTCAGTAAGACCCTCTAGGAACATCAGGGTCATCTCAGGCAGGTCTTGGAGAAGCTTAGAGAGGCTAACTTCAAGATCAATGCAAAGAAGTGCGAGTGGGCCAAGACACAAGTTCTGTACTTGGGCCACGTATTAGACGGAGATGGCATTAAGCCAGAGGACAACAAGATAGCGGCAATTAGAGATTGGCCGACACCGTGCACCTTGACAGAGTTGCGGTCGTTCCTAGGCCTAGCTAACTACTACAGGAAGTTCGTGAGGAACTTCTTCACTATTGCCGCTCCCTTGCGCAGGTTGCTGAAGAAAGAGGCAATCTGGCAACGGGACAAAGTTGCAGATCCGTCTTTGCCATTTGTCGTCACCACGGACGCGAGTCAGTATGGGATAGGCGCGGTGTTGCAGCAAGACGACGACAATGGCTATAGACCCGTAGAGTTCATGTTGGCGAGGATGCCCTGTGAGAAGGTCGCTACCGCCACGTACGAGAGAGAACTCTACACTCTCAGGCAGGCTTTAGACCATTGGAAGCACTACTTGCTTGGGAGGCACTTCAAAGTGTATTCGGACCATGAAACGCTTAGACGGTTAAAGACTAAGGCCAAGATGATGCCTAAGTTGACTAGGTGGGCCGTAGAGATAGACCAATTCGACTTTGAGCTCAAGCCAGTGAAGGGTAAGTACAACGTAGTTGCGGATGCTCTGAGTAGGAGATCAGACTACTTTGGAGTCGTAGTACACTATCTGGATATAGGAAGAGACTTGCAGGAGAAAGTGATGCAAGCGTATGCACAAGACCCTATCTATAGCGACCTCCTAAAGAGAGTTAGGGAGGCCCCAGAGACCGAACCCGATTACCGCACTACAGATGGGTTATTGTTTGAGAAGACTAATGTGTTTGACTGCCTGTGCGTTCCCAACAGCGAGGAGATCCGTAGTTTAATCTTAGGGGAATGCCACAATACTGAGGGACATTTTGGTTGGCAAAAGACATTAGCCAATCTAATGCGTGCGTATACCTGGCCAGGAATGAAGAATGACTGCGTAGAGTACGTCCACAGTTGTAAAGTATGCCAGCGTAACAAGACTACTACACGCGCACCCCTTGGTCTTCTCAGACCCTTGCCTATTCCGGATCAGCCGGGGGACTCAGTGTCCATAGACTTCATGGACACCCAAGTCAAGAGCAGACATGGTAAGAGCCAAGTCATGGTCATAGTTGACCGCTTTAGTAAATACACAGTTTTTGTTCCTTTGCCTTCAGAGGCACGTACAGACTTAGTGATACAGAAGTTCTTTGACTTTTGGGTTAGTGAGAATGGGATCCCATTGTCAATAGTCAACGATAGAGATAGTCGCTTTACCAGCCAGAACTGGCAAGAACTCATGAGAGTGTACGGATCCAAGTTGTTAATGTCATCTGGCCGTCATCCAGGGACCAACGGCCAGACAGAACAGAAGAACAAGATCCTACAGCAAGTTTTGCGCGTGTACATTAGACCAGATCAGATCAACTGGGATGAGATGTTGCCTAAGGTAGCTAGTGCCTACAACAACAGCGTACATCTATCTACCTGCCGCACTCCCAATGAGCTGCATAAGTCCTTTAGACCGCGCAGACCATTCGAAGGACTGAACTGGGATCAGATTCACAGACTACCACCCGGTACCAGGGAATTTGCGGTACAACACGAGAAAGAATTAGCAACTGTTGTTGAGAATCTCAAAAAGGCCCAGCATAGAATGATAGAGCAAGCTAATAAGCACCGTCGACCGTCGCAATTTCAGGTAGGCGACTTAGTCTGGGTCAAGGCAAAGCAGTTCGCGCCTGAAGAAAACATCTCGCAAAAGTTACCGCCTGCATATAGAGGACCGTGGCCGGTTCTAGAAGCCAAGGGCGGAGAGGATGGACCATCATACACTATAGAGATCCCAGTACACCTCTACACATATCCTGTGTTCCATGCTTCAAAGTTGTTGCCATGTGTTACAAGCCAACAGTTCCCTTCTAGAAGATCCATGATCCCTCCGGATATGGATGGGAGCTATGACATAGAGGGCATTGTAGAGGAGGATGTGTTTAGAACAGGAGGTCGAGGACGTCCTCAGAAACAGTACAAGGTCCGCTTTGCATACCAGGAACCAGAGGATGACCGCTGGTTTACAAGATCAGAACTTCTAGAGACAGCTCTCGATATAGTCAGAGCCTACGAAAGAGAACAGAAAGGTAAAGGTCCTGCCTTGGACTGAATTATTCTCGGAGGACCTTGAATTTAGGACGGCGGGAGTGAAACGGTATTCACCAGTTAGCAGCAGCTGCCGCAGATCCCAGGGTTCGATCCCTAGACCCCAACCTTACCCATGTACAGAACCTGTGTCAACCCGTAGAATTGAACCCGTGACCTGTGTATTTGTAATAGCTGATAGGTTGTCGTAGGGTCCATAGGTAGCATGGGTTTGATCTGTAGACCTGTCGGATAGGAGTGTTAGTCAGGTCTAGACAACGTAGCTGTAGTGTTCAAGAAAGGTCAAGGTTGTAGCTGCTACAGTCCAGAAGGGTCAGAGTCGTAGCTGCTACAGTCACGAAAGGCGAAGTCTACGGCCTTCCGGAAGGTCCCAGTAGTGGCCTTTCGTGAGTTGCTCACGTTTAAGCAGAGGCAAGTGGTCAAGTGGTGAGGCAAGTGGGCAAGTGGGGGAAGTCTACCCTGCTGAGTCAACAGTCCCAGTCCCCAGTCAGTCAAGCAAGTACCGCACGGGACTGTGTGCACTTGGGGCAAGGGAAATGGGCCAGACCAACGACCTGCAGAAGTATATAAATCAAGAGGCAGCGCCCAGCCATTCATTCATTCCTGCGTGAGCCATGCGGAAGCGCTGCCACAGCGACTTGTGCAAGGAGGTCTGCAGTGAGCCCGGAGGACGCAGTGGGCGAGAGAGGAGGAGTTAGCATAGCGATAGGTTAGAGGCAGCCATAGCTGCCATAGCTGTAGTTAGTGGGAAGGGTGTGTGTGCCTGTGTGAGTGTTCAGA